TACCTCCTCCTGCACTTGGCCAGTAATACATCCTACAGGGAGGAACCAGTGATTTTATTGGGAGCAGCAGCTTTGGACAGACATTCTATTCCGAGAAAATTTACTGCAACAATTTGCATTTATATAGTGCCCTTCACATGGATAAGGTGTTGAAGTGCTTTACAAAGATAGTATTGAATGACAAGAAGGAGAGGGGAAAGGGGGAGATGACCATACACACAGTCAAAGAGAGAGGATTTAATATGGGATTTGAAGATCAGTTGTCAGGCCAGATGGAAGGGGGGAGAGAGAGAATTTCAGAGGTTAGAAGCATAGTATCTAAAGGCTCAATTACTGATTGTGTCAGAGAGGAGGCGGGGAATGTGTGGCAAGGTCATGTCAGTCAAGAAGAGGAGGAGAGTAGAGCACTGGGAAAAACAAATCAGAGATTGGGAGATGCTGGGACATGAAGGGCTGATGGTGAGGAACTTGAAATCTATCCTCAATGAGAGGGTGGAGGCTGGCAAGGACTAGAGAGTTTGGTGCAAGTGAAGATGCAAGCGGTAGCATTTTAAATCATCTGGATCTTGTGGATGGTTCAGCTAGGGAGGTGAAGCGAGAAGTGCATTTGAAGGTAAGTGGATCCCTTTAGGGCTGAGTTGGCTCCAATGGAAGATTGGAATAGAATCTCAGTAGTCCAGTTTTTGAGGCAGATCCACAGTACTCCAGGGTACTTTTGAAGATTGATTTGTAGTCTTAATCAGAACTTGAAGAAGCAAACTAATCTCTAGGGGAAGGCATTCCTCCCACTCAGCCTTTGTTAACTCTACAAACCAAATCCCCAATAAGTAGGGTGGACCTAGATGACGAGTAACGAGAAGGTTGCCAGTGTTTGTAATGGCAAGCTGAATGGATTTAACTTAACTCAAGTGGCACTTGATCCCGAAGCTTGCCTTTTGCCAAACTGTACCTAAACTCTGAGGGATTAGGTGAATTAGGGTGTGTGTTCCTCTAAGGAGAGAGTGCGCACTACATACCGGACAAACAGAAATCATCCATGTGTGGAATTCTTAGTAGTTTGGTTTGGAGGCTGTTAAAGAATGGTAATGGTTTGGGGTTTCCCTGTGTGTCAGAATCAAGGTTGATTTAAAAAAAATAAAAGAATTTCAGAACTTATTTTTCGCTGTTCTTTAGTGAAATGCATTGTGAACACATTGAATTTCTCTCTAGATTTCAGGTCCCCTGCACTGTGGTACATTGTTAATCACAGACCTGCACAGAGCATGGATCAGCAACTGAACTAAAGTACAAACCTTCTAAACTCTCCTCTCTCGGCTGCCTGTGCAGTATTTTCATCTTGTACCTCTGCTGGGCTTGGTGCCAGCCTCTCTTCGCTGTTCCGCAGCCCATTTTTACCTTTGCTAACCTTTGCGTTTGCTGCCAGTCCATTTATTTTTCTTTCCTTCCTCCCTGTTGTAACACAATATGTTCCTAATAAAGAATTTCACGTCCCCCACCCCATTCCAAGTGTCAGCAGCTCTTCACCTTTAATTTGTTAAATTTGCCCAAATTTGTTATGTTAAAGCTCATTCGTGTACACATGTGGGTCAGCGGAGGTTTGTCTCGCTGCTGATATTAACAGTATGCTTGCTGGCTGCCCTGCACAGCATACCATCATCCTGTTGGGTCCACGGCTATTTTTCCACATCTGTACGAGGAGTATGAGGGATGGAAGAGTGGAATATTTATTTATTTTTTACTTTGGGACCAGCCAGATGGACCACAGAGGTCTTTTCTGACCCTGTACATTCCTATGTTCTTATGTCTGCTTACAAATCTCCCCTTCAATTTCCCCCGTTTGTCTCCTGAAAGCTGGATGCCCTGATACCTCGCTCCCTGTGGGCAATCTTCACACATGAGTCCAACACTGAAGCTATTGAAGAATGGAAGGCTATCACAGCTGAGTTTGATTCTGTCCTCCCTTGACGTCTAAACACATCCACTTTCCAACAAGAGTCACTCGATTGGAATCCAGAATAGAATCCCTGAATGTTTTTCCCCTTTCCTAGCCCACGAGTGCTGAGGTCATTGTAGCACCCCATACTTGTGGTCAAATAACTCAACATTATACTTACCAACTGAGCCATCAGGGAGCTTTCTGTGTGCTCTATTATTTCACGGTTTGGGGTCTGCATATATAATACACCCAGGGTCCCATTAACTTTGCATCTCTAGCTTGTTAGTTCAATTTATGCAATCTAATCTCCCCAAAGTTGGAACTAAACTGTCTCTGAGGAGACACACAAAGCAAGGCATGTCTGCAGTAATCCACATAATCATTAAGGTGTCGATGTATCCTCGTCCCCTCGACAGCAATGAGTAGGGCAGTCCTATCGGGACAAGTGTCCACTTTCTTCATCCATGTTCTATCTTTGAGAGTAATGGGTTAGTTTTAAGAATTGAAGTAGCAAAGCAAAAGAAAAGAGACAAAATGAGGAGAGAGAGGAGCTTGGAAGAGTTATATTGAGAGAGAAAGAGAAAAGAAAGTTTAAAGGTACTTAAAGAGATGCTGGGTAATCACTTACACTCTGGAACACTGACCTCTCTGTCTGCTCTGTGCTTTGAGTTCCACCATCTGTCTTTAGAGAGTTTATTTAGACAAGTCTGCGATCTCTCGCGAGTGTCTGGCTTGCTCTCAAATCTGTGGCCTGATAGGATTGCAACCAGGCAATGGGGTGGAGGCTTGTGGTGTTTAACTTATGTATTCATCTGCTTTTCTGATCAACGACCTGCACCTTCAGTTTTGTCCCTGTTCTATTCCTTATCTGGGCTCCTTTGAGAGGTTGGCCATAACTCTGGAAATATCCATTGGATCAGCTGCTGAAACATAAGCAGTACCCCTTCTTCAAGATGTCTTATTTGGAGTGGAAGTGAAGGGTTAATGTGGTAACGTTCCACAGCAAATGGTCTTCCAAGTGGCCAGACCTTGGAATTTGCTGTGTTTGTGTAGGATCGGGTGAATGGTAAAATAAACCGTGCAGAAATTGGGAAAGAATAACAAATGTGCTGATTCAAGGTTGTCGGGCATCAGTGATGGGGTTTTCTCTCCTGGTGGATCTGTTACACCGTCAGTTTCATGTTCAGAAACTTAACCAGGATGACTGCACCCAATACTTTGGGGGTGAACCTCCAGGGCGAGGAAAGATAAGCTGGGTAACACCAATCTTTTGGATGATCCAAGAGATGAGGACAGTGTTGGCACTTAAACTGTTTTTGGATAGTTCAACCTCAATTCATTGTGATTAGAAATCGAGCTGTGGTAAGGATAAAAGGGTATTCAGTAATTGTAATTACATTTACAACTCTTTTCAGACTTAGTAACTCTTTCTAGCCCAGCGCTCTGTTACTATCCATATCCTTACTGCTGTCAATTGAGTCCCATACACAATTAGGATTAATAACTTGGCAGCCAACACCTTGTATTACCTACTGTACCTCCGAGGTACCATGTTAATGACATTCTCTACTGCTTAATGGGGGTGTGGGGGTTCTGGAAGGATGAGATCAGATGGGCCGAAGGGCCTTCTTCATCCAAATCAATCTTGTGATTGAAAGATTGCTCTGCTTTGTTCTCGCACATATGGAGCGTTGAGCAATGTACTGCTGGTATCTACTGGGTAGAGTGCAATGAAACATTAATAAAATAATTAAAATAACATGAACAAAGAACGTGTTAGTGTGTGATGGTCAGAATATTGCCCTGGGTGCAAGCTGTGAAATAATTTATATAAAAAAAATTCTACCACTACCTGCCAATCATTCTTCTCGTCTGAAATAGCTGACTCTCGTGGACTATCCTAAACAGCTTTCATTTTGAGGTCAGGTACAGCAAGTGTACAGAGTAATTCTCCTTCTACATTGTCCCATCCAGCGCTCCCAGGATCACAGGTTATATACAGGGTAAACAATAACAATAATCCTTGCTTTTGATACACTGCCTTATCATTTCATTGAGATGTCTCAAAGTGTTCAACAGGATATTCTCTCTAGTGGATCGACTGTATTTTGTGTGGAAAAAAATCACTACTGCCAAATAAATACAGCATTGTCACACAAACTGTCATGGATCGAAGTAACCAATTGATTATTTTTTTGAGGGATTACTATCAGGCGTGTGGAGTAAGGAAACTTGTCCACTGTTTTGCCCTGCCGGGAATCAACTTTCACTTGCGAGGCGAGTGCTCTAACCACTGAGCTACCAGACTCTGAACTACATAGAATTACATAGAATATACAGCACAGAAACAGGCCATTCAGCCCAACTGGTCTATGCTGACATTTATGCTCCAGATGAGCCTCTTCCTGCCCTTCCTCAACTAAGCCTATCAGCATAACCTTTTATTCTTTTCTCCCTCGTGTACTTACATAGCTTCCCCTTAAATGCATCTATGCTATTCGCCTCAACTACTACTTGTGATAGCAAGTTCCACATTCCCACCATTCAGTCAGTCAATCAGGCTTCAGTGTTGCAATGAATTTAGTTGGAGTTATAATAATAATATAATAATAATAATCCTTGCATTTGATATAGCGCTTTTCACGTCGGGAGGACGTCCCAAAGCGCTTCACAGAACACACTGTAAAGTGAATTGACTGTATATTTGTGGGCGAACGCGGCAGCCAATTGCGCACAGCAATGTCCCACAAACAGTCGTAGATTGAAAATGACCAGTTTAATTATTGTTTTTAGTTTTGGAGGGATTATTGTTAGGCGTGTGGAGTAAGGAAACTTGCCCAAGGTTTCGCCCTCTGCCTGGAATTGAACTCAGGTCTCTCACTTGCAAAGCGAGTGCTCTAACCACTGAGCTATAGGACTCCACAGTTGGTGGTTCTGCATCTCTGAATTGCATTCCTTCCACCATGTCATTGCCAAAGCAGACCTGAGAGTGATTGAGGATTTCATCTTTGCCCTTGTGTTCCCTTCAAAGCTGCGCATTACAGAATTTCCTTTGTTTTCACAGAGATCCCAGCTGTACCACCGACGTCTATGGTGAGCAGTACAGAAGAGCCTGCAGGTGAGTGAGCCTCTGAACCCATTACCGTAACAAATGCAATTAAACTAAGATGATTCTTTACCCTTAAATATGTGCTTCCTCAGATCCTGGTTCTTTGGTTAGAAGTATTGATACTGAATTATATTGTTCAACTTGGAGTCCTTGAAATGGATTCAAACAACACCAGTTCTCAAGCACCTTGAGGATTTTGTATGATTCTGCCTTGTTTTTAATCTTCTACACTTCAATATCACGTGGCTTCTGACCCAATCCAAGCCAGACTGATACAGAAATGTTCTCTAATGGTTATAATGGTCCTATATAAATTAAACTTTAATGGCCATGGGCAATTAATTTGCTTCGAAAATGGCAATCTGACTTCAAGCTGACAAAATGGCTAATGTAGGGAATGAATGATACCATAGCTCTCCTGAGCTTTACTCTACCTAGCTATACTGAGAATGGGATCAGCGCAAATAACTGGGTAGAGAGTTATAACAACAACAACAACAAGATTCCATTTATAGAGCGCCTTTCACGTCGGGAGGACGTCCCAAGGCGCTGTACAGTTGGGTCAGGACCCGAGCAGGGGGGAAATGGTCATAACCTTTGGTCTGCATCTGTTCAATAACCTGGATACGTTCCATGGAGACACCAAGACCTTGAACTGTTGAACTGTTTCATTCTCAGCCTCCGCGCCCTCTCACCCTCCCCATTCCACGAGCAAAAACATTTACCCCCCCCCCCAAATTACATCTATTTTATGGTCTTACGAATTTCACTTCAAAGCCACGGATGGCCCAGTTTTCCTCAGAACTTTGTGAAAGACTCCAAGGCTTTTTTCTTTGATTTGTTGTACTTTTTTTTAAGATTCTGAACTCTGACCAAATCTCACGTGAGGCATGACAGAGGTATTTCATACAATCTCCCAGTGCTTTATTCTAATTTAAAACAATAGTGTTGAAATCTCGCTGGGGGTAGGGAAACATAACCGTTGAGAGAACAGCTGAGACAATGTTATATTTAACATGGTGAGGGAGCAAGTCAACAGTCCTGGTGTCAGTCTGCATGTGCTCGAGCTGAACCCTGGCGTGGCTAGTTTATTTTTGTTTGCATTAGAAAATCAATTGGTTACAATTCCAGGCTGACCACTGACAGCGTGGCAACATTCAGTCATTGAGAAGGCAATCCAAAAAGGTTTCCCGGTGTAAGGGACACGGCAGCTGGGAAGGTTAGCTCCTTCCTATCCACAGGTTATCAATTTGCTTTCAGAGCATATGTAGTGGGACATACTGAGAGATACTGGAAGAGGGGCATCAGAATGTGTAGGACCAGAAAAAAAAATACGGACTATTTTCAAATCCCATTACTCCCAATTTCCCATACACCGCAATCCTTTTAGCCATCAAAATTAATCCAATTCCCTATCAAAACTGTCTCTAGACTATTCAACCTATTTTGTCTGTAAAACAATTTCCCAAAGTGTTGAAAGTGAAGCACATTCTGTTGAATCACATATTATGAAGGGTGGTGCTGTGCATTCCCCCATTCATGACTTGATACTCCAGATAAATTGTCTACTGCCACACTGCCTAGAAGAGGTAAAGGCAGGATAAAGAACGGAGATGCAGATAATTTTAAGACTTTAAAGGATCATGGAATATTTACACAGAACTGTTCTTGAGGAGGTTGAATAGCATGCACCTGGCACAGGCAGGCGTCATGGCTTTAACTTTCCAGTGTAAAGAAATGAAAGGCTAAGTACAAAATGTTTATTATCAGTACGTGAAGGAATGGCGACATCTTTTACACTGAAGTGCGCAGAGTGGGAGATGCACTGATCCATTAATTATACAGGATTTTTTATAAGATTTTCTTTACAACTTTTCTACATCAACTAAGTCTTTACAATACTTAGTTGAGGTAGAATACAATAGAACGTACTTCACCTTGAATTAGCGCTGTACTGCAATACAAAGATTTATACATGCATTAATCAACTTGGTTGACAACAACAAATTACATTTAAACAGTGCGTTTCACGTCGAGGACATCTTAAAGCAATTCACAGAACTGAATGAGCCCAAGTGGCAGGGTTGCGGGAGACCACTGAGATATGGTGGGGCAAAAAGACTCGTCAGAGAAACTGTCGCATAAAATAATAAACCTTGCATTTGATAGAGTGCTTTATCATGTCATTGAGACATTTCAAAGTGGTTCAGACAATATATACAATATATTGTCCAGTGTGTTTTGTGGACGAAACATCACAGACAATTGCGCACAACAGTGTTTCACAAACAGTCGTGGATTGAGTGACCAATTCCTTCTTTTTTTGGGGGGGGCGAAGGATTATTACCCCTGGAAAGCGATCCACTAATAGACTAACAACCGGGTTCCTGCTTACTGCTAGGTAAAAGTGGCGTGTGGAGTTAGGAAACGTAAGGTTTCGCCCCGCGTGGGAATCAAACCTGGGTCCTCTCTATGCTACGGGTCTTTTGTGAAAAGTTCAGCTTTCAAAGTGTCCCCACAACTACAAAAAAATATAATTGCAATAAAGAAGCATCTTGAATCTTAAATCTTTCAGGACAGTCCGTTTAACACTAGCAGACAATGTAGCAGGAGATATAAAATTCCTTTTTCTAATTTTATTCATGGATTCAAATTATTTATGAGGTACTTGCTGTAATAAAAAGGCTGAAATACTCCCTTGTTATGACATTGCAGGCTGTAACATATTAAAACATTTATTTCTAACCCTCTTCCTTCCCCAAGGATGCCATTGACCTCTACAGTGTGTTCTGAGTGGCCTTTGGAGGGAATTTGCTGTACGTCAGCCATTTCCTTCCAGTCATCTGTGTTGGTTTCCGCAAACCTGGGCCACGCCAGTCTCAACACTCGGGCCTAAGTGCTGGACCACTTCAGTCACTCTGGCAAATTCCTCGTGGGCTTCCACTCGCACTGTGTGGAAGGGAGGGCCTGACAAAATTCTTTCATTATTAAAAAAATACACAGGCCAACTGATGTGGTATTTTCAGGCTTATTATAGCTGAAATGGCAGCAGTAACAGTATCAGCCATCAGTAAAATGGAGAGACAGGAAAATCCTGTTATAACAAGTTATGTTATTCCAGACTGCTTGTTCCCACCATCGCCGTTTTTCTCCCTATTGAAGCCTCACCAGGTCAGTTTTTTGTATCACGAAGGAACATCACTGGTGTATAAAAAAAGCAGTGGTTCACCATAGGATTCGTGAAGAGTGACCAACAGTCGCTAATGGTAACTGGTAGTTTACACAGACTGACTGTGATCTACTTGTGGAGTTTTAGAGTGGGATTCCCATGGTCTACTTGGGTGGTTTAAATAATCTCTCCATTGGATATAATGCCTTCCACACCAACAACAACAAAATTACATTTGTTGTTTCACGTCAGGAGGACATCCCAAGGTGCTGAACAGTCAGGGATCAGGACCGGAGCAAGGGTGGGGGCAGGGTTGGGATGAAGAAGGGCAGAGAGGTAGGAGGGCGGCTGAAGCCACGGTAGAAAATGAGGGTCTTGAGTCGTGCCTTGAAGATGGCAAGCGAGGGAGCAAGGCGAAGGGACTGTGGGATGGAGTTCCAAAGGGTGGGGGCCGGGAGGCTGAAAGACTGGCCGCCAATGCTAGGGCAGGTTGGGTGGAGGACATGGAGCAGGCCAGAGCCTGTTGAACGGAGGGAGCGGACAGGTTGATAGTGGGGTAGCAGGTCAGAGAGGTAGGAGGGGGCAAGGTCGTGGAAGGCATTGAAAGTGAGGATGAGGATTTTGAATTCTATCCTCTGAGGGATAATTAAACAGTATAGCCAGGCAGAGTTGATGGGTTCACGGAGCCTGGTGCGGGAGAAGACACGAGCTGCAGAGTTCTGGATGATCTGACAGGCCTAAAACGCTTCACTGTATTTGGTAATAACAATAATCAATGCGTTTGATACAGCACCTTATATCACATCGTTGAGACCTCTCAAAGCACTTCACAGGATATACTGTTAAGTGGTTTGACTGTGTATTTTGTGGGTGAAATGCGGCAGCCAAATACACACAGCAAATATCCCACAAACAGTATTTGGGGGAATTTGTTGGGCAAGGACAGTGGGTAAAACTCGAATAATGGCATGGGATTTATTATCATTATTTGAAGGGATCTTTAACATCCGCCTGAACAGGCAGACGGGACCTCAGATTTATGTCTCATTTGAAGGAAGCATCACGTGTAGTGATTGTGTATTTTGTAGGTAAACATAGCAGCCAGTAACCCAGCACCAGCCTCTGTTACACTACACCTCCTTCTGTTATATCCGTTACCACAAGATCATACAGAACCTCCCTCTGTTATAACTGTTGCACTGTGCCTCCATCTATCTGTTATGTTGCATCTTTGGGATCAATGCATTTGAATTATTTACAGCTGTTTGGCTTGAAATTTGTGCGCGTGCAAAATACAGGGAGTGTTTTATGTCCCTTATTTTATTATAAAATGGCTCCCGCATCGCATTTTGACAATGCGATGCAAGGCTTGAACTTCTATTTTAGACATGTACCACTGTTTTGGTATCACCTAGCCACCATTTAGTATCTCACCTTCTATTCTTTTGAATCTCTGTGATACCCTGAAATTGGGCACTGGTCTTACATCTGGGTTTCTGAATAAATGCTGCAATGAACTGCTTTAAATCTCTAATCAAAATCCCTGCACATTTTGATATTCGCCAATATTACAAGCATGTAATTAAATGTGCCAAACATTGCTGGCGTAACAATCCTTGCATTTGATATAGCGCCTTATCACGTCTTCGAGACATCCCAAAGAGGTCCACAGAATATACTGTAAAGTGAATTGACGGTATATTTTGTGGGCGAAACGCGGCAGCCAATTACACAGAGCAGTGTCCCACAAACAGTCGTGGATTGAGAGACCGAATAATTCTTTTTAAATTATTTTTATTTTTTTGAAGGGATTATTACCCCCGGAAATTGATCTGCCAAT